ATAGTTATCTTTCAATAAAGCACTTTAGTTAAAAACTGAAAGCTGCTTCCAACTTCCCACTGGCAATAATGCACTCCCTTAAAAGAGCACATCAAGATCCTTACAATATGGCTCTCATCTACCATTACAACCTGTTTGTGATAGTTCCCCACTTGCCTTACATAATCAGACTGAAGTACACTGCATGGGGTCAGACACACACTTCCCACACTTCTACCTCTAGAATACCTAAACTTTTCAAAGGTCAACTAAGTTTTTCTCCTTAAATTGTAAATACAATTTCAAAGAGTTTGGAAAATAAAAGAAAAAATTTAGCCATAATATTGTCATTTAACACAACATCTTTGTTTATTTCCCTCCTAACAGTCCTCTATGAATGTACATATTTGTATAATAAACATATAATTTTGCATAATATCCTCACATATTTTATTTAGCCATTCCTTGTCATGTTGCAGAATAAAAATATTAAAAATTATAAAATATTATTTTGAGAAAAAGGAAAAAAAAAGGAGAAAGAAAAAAAAAAACCAAGGGTGGGGAGAGAATCGAGCTCTGAATAAGGTTTAAGTTGCATACCATGATGACCTACTCATCCACCATGGGTGAGCCACACATTTGGCTCTCAGTTTTCTAGTTGCCAATGTAAAAACAGAAACTTTGTCAGTTTTCCAACTCCCAGTGCCCAAGAGATTTAAAAAAAAAAAAAAAGTCCTGGTAATTGCAACTCTTCTTGGGACAAATATTGTAGAAAGATATTTCTCCTGAGGTCTTCCTAAAGAGAATACAGGGTGATATACTTAACAACTTCTGGGAAGACTCATTAGAGACAGTACAGCTCACTTCACATCATTGTTCATACTGAGAATTAATATAGGCAGATGCCATGGCACAAGTCACTGAACAATTTTGTAAAAACCATCTTTTTGGAAATCACTTGATACTATCAAGACACCCAGCTCTTTGCTGGTCTGCTTTAAGTCATGGGTAAATATAATGCATTAAAATGCTCACATATCATGTATGTTATACAGTCATAGTAGTGGCTGAATTGTTATCTTTTAGAAAAACTTTCTGAATATTGTTCCTCTTCAAGATAGAGTTTTAAATAGTTCTTAGGTCAAATCTTAAAACGTCAGATTCTATATTGCACAGCTGAAGCTTGCTTGGAAGAGCAGATTTTAGGCTGAGAAGCAAAAACTCCCTCTTTTTGATCATGAATGTTGTTTCCTTTGGGAAAGTCCTCTGAATATAAGAATGAAGCTGGGGCCAGAGATGCTATAGTATTGGGCTTCTGTATCTAATACAGAATGTTATCATAGAAGGACTCAAACATAAGCTGAATAACATACTTGCTCACAGAGATTCTCACTGTCTCCAATCTTGAGTCCTCTCTAGAAATTGGGCTTGGTGGAGCTACAGATCTGGGGCTAGAAGGATCAACTTTTACTTCTCTGATTTACATGCTAGTAAGAAGCCTGGATACTAAAATCTTTTTTTTTTTTCTTAAACATTCTTTGAGTTTTTCAGAAGACTGATAAGATAAAGCAATTTTCTACCTTTGCCTTTATCAATATTTGTAGGACTGTTGAGATATGGATTCTTGTCCCTAATTAAATCTGTCACTAACTGACCTTCTGAGGGCTTCTTAAAGTTTCTGAGCTCAGTTTTCCTCCCTTCTAACATGAGGGAGTTCTGGTAGGTAACTGCCTCCCTAGTATTCCTTCCACTTATGAATCATACTGACCCTTGGCCCAACAGCTGTACGTGGAGAATCCCCTCAATTTGATGAGAGTGATTGCTAATGTTTCTCTAATAATGGACCTAGCGTATTATAAGACAGTCACACATCTTGGGTAAGAGCAGGGGCTCTGCAGAGGAAAAGTCCTGGTTCCACTCTGTCCTTTACTAGTGTGTGGCCTGGAGCAAGTATTAACCTCTCTGAAGCTTCCCTATCTGTAAAGTGAGACTAACATAAGCCCTTACAGAGTAGTTGTATTAAGTGAGACGTTGTAAATCCAGGCCTAAATACAGTGTCTGGCACAAAGCAAGTGCTCAATCAAAAGTATCCGCTTTCAGTACTGTTATTTCTTGGGTCCACTGAAACAATTTCTCTTCTAAATAGCATTTTTTCAAGTTGAATATCAGCACTAGTGTAATTACAGTCTTTAAAGGTTTTAAGGTGCCAAATTGGGCTGACTTGTTTTAAACAAATTGGAAAGACATAGGCTCAGGGGATTTTTAAAAAATTAAGCAAAACAACCTGTGTGCTGACCTTTACCCTGTGGTTCTTTTATTAATAACAGTGTATTAACAAACACAACTTTAAGCTTTGATTACTACTAATGTAATCCAGGCCAAATATGCTACATAACAGCAGTAATAAATTTCTTGCCCCAGAGAAATTTTAATGGAGGTTTGCTTCACTTTTCTGTTTGTTTTGAGACAAGATTGTGGAGAAGTTCTTAGTTCAGGGTTCCCATCAATAGATACTTAGACTCTTTAATTTCTGATCACATGTAGATTGTATTTCAATACAACTAAATATGATAAAATCATTCTTTGATAAGAAAGATAAGCTTTGAAGGCTGTGTAAGTACTTATTTTATAGTTTTAAAACAATTGCTTAACAACAAAAGAAAAGGAAAAAAATTCCCCCAAATGTGGGAAATCAGGTTCTTTGCTGTGTGCTTAACTACAGCAGGAAATATGTGTTTGTTTATTATGACCCTTAATGCTTCCACAGCCAGATTAACTTTCAAACACAGAGTTTTCATTCCACTTAACCAACAGTTGTCACCCTGACTGTGGAAACTGATAATCTGCAGGGAGTTCAAGGAGAATACTTGCATAATTACATCTACTAGAGCCTGCCTTGTCCCCACAGTTTGGGGATAGACTCTTTGTGAACAGGGAACACTTCTAAGAGTAGGGCCCCCTACAGGGTGTATTAATTAGCTCACAGTAATATGCTGGGTCAACCTTTGTCAAAGTTGACTTTCAGGGACTATCAAATTTGATAGAGAAGGAGTTCTGAATTACCATTATATGTTTAAGAATGTCTCCTTGTTGATTCTAGGTTTGTCCTCATTCATGAGATGTGAGGCTCTACTGATTTGTAACAAGCTGGGGAAGAACAATCACTTATATTTCTGCTGGAAAGCTCTCTGCAGGATAAAGGGTGAGTAATATGTTTTATAGATAGATAATTAAGAATCTACATTGATTCATAAGTCTTGAATATCTGCATGTTAAAAACCCCAAACTCATCAGGCCATTTGCTGTATAGACATATTCAATTTTCACAGTTCTTAGGAACTAGCTTATTATTTTCTGTCTCAATAGCTCTATTTTCTTAAATATTTTAGTGTTTGATTAATTCTCATAGAACTTCACTTATTTTAAAAGCAGTTTTAAAGGACTGCATTCTGAATTTATACACAACTTTCTAAGAAATGCCTATAATCATTATTTATTTGTCAAAATGATTTAATCAGAAGATTATTACGTGGGTACATCTTATAGCTTCTGAATTAAGGGAGACCAGGGGAGGGGATTTAAAACTGTCACTAAGCTATAAGGGATCTACTGGCTTTGCTCACCATCACAGCTCTGGCTGAAGTAGAGTGGCCCTTGTTTTGATGTACTACCTGATCAAGCTTGAATTTTGGTTAGTGATGGTAAGGAAAGTTGGTAGAGTTTAATGTAAAGAATAGCCAGAAATGGTTTAGCAGAATCCCATCTGAGCCTGGCAGAAACCCTGCTCTCTCCCCATTTTGTCCACCGTCAAACTTGCCAAGCCTTGTTCACTTTGGCTTTATTTTAAAAATGCATTTCTGGTGAGTGAGGAAAGGTTTTGTACTGTGTTTTCAATGACTCACCCAAAATAACTCCATTCAACTTGTAAATGGTCCTGTTCTGAATGCAGATTGTGTTTGTTCTGAGATGGGCATGAAGGGGCTGCAGAGGGGAGATTAGAGAGGGGAAACAAGGTGGGAGAGGCCAGAACAGTTTACATTTATTCAGATTCAGGAACACATCAGAATTATTTTTTAAAAAAAAGTTTTGTGTGTGGGGGGAGGCGGAGTGTGTGTGTGTTAAAGAACCTTTTATGAGGTCGGTAACATCTAAAATTTTTAAAGATACATCAATATTACACAGATACTTGGTTCTTCTAGTCACCAACCTCTTTTTCTCACCCTCATAAAATGTGGACGGGGAGATTTACATGTAAATATATAATTTCAAATATATGCAGAGTGAAATCAGTTTTTTAAAGTTCTAAATATCTTCAAATAGGAAGAATCATATAGGTAACCTAAGAGCTAGAAATTAATCTTAAACTAGGAAGAAAATGTGTAACAATAAATTGATCATATACTAGAACAGTGTTAAAACTAGGAAATGTAAATTTAAAAAATGACATCCTCTTGTTATGTACTGCAGAAAAATGTTTACTATCAAGTGGCATAGATTGAGCATTTGATATTGATAGGTATACCTTTTCTAAAGCTTTTATGATTCAAAATGTCAGAGATATTTAAAAGCAATTATTTTATGGCAGGACTGAAAAGAAAAAGAAGTGCTCTGATTTAAACTAGACCATTAAAGCTTCACAGATGAATGAAAAACATTTTAGCTTTCCCATGTGTTACTATGTCCAGTTATGAGGATTTCACAACCTTCTTTGAGTTGTTTCATGAATTCATGAAACAGACTAAATAAAGCTTATTCTGTTATATAATCCTGCTTCACTCTGTTGTTGATAAAGAATAGATGGGCCATTCTTACCTGTTGCTCAGAAACACAAGAGAATTGAGCTACTGGAAAGAAAATAAGCAGCCTACAAGGTTTTACCATGGAGAGGGTAAATTTAGCATTAAGTGGCAAACTGAGGAAATCATGATCTGGGAATGGTGAAATGAGTGATAAACAACAAGTTTTTAACATGCACAAAATCACAAAGTGTATAAACTTACCCAGATTATGTAAATAACTTGCAAGGCAAAGTTTCAGTGGTAGTAACACCTGCTTCTTCTGGTCTGTACTTGGGAAAACGAGGAAGATCAAAACATCAGATTGTTACACTGCACTAATGCTTACTTATGAGGACAATGACCTAGCATAATAGGAGTTTTTGGTAATGTGGAAAAACCCAAAGAATAAGCAATAGGTTTAAATTATAGACCTTAAACATGCAATTTTATTACTTTAAAATATACACCATAACCAGAAATATTTTAATGGTTAATAATGACTTACAGGATTATATCATAAAACTAATCTAAGTCAGACTGACCACTTTCCTCGTAGTTCAATTATATGATTTGTAAATAAACCTTTGAAAGTTTCTGAAGAATTCAGCTGTTCAGTAACATTTTCCTTTAATTCTTTTTTATCCTATTGCAAATCATTCTGCTAGCATCCCTGGAAATGTTAATAGTTATACTGAGGGGGCCCAAAAGATAACATGTTGAAATGAATTTTAGAAACGCTGGGCTAAACAAAGTTAAACAGTTTTATTTTTTAAAAAAATAACTCTTGAGAACCTCTCAAGTCTTTAACATTCACTGTGATTGAGCTGGGGCTCAGGGAGGTGAGAATATAATATGGAGAATTTCCCAAACATATTTTATGTAGCATTATTTTCTCCAGGCAATTCTACTGTTAAGACAAAAGGATCTGGGAAGCGTCAGGTAGAATTGCAGATAAATAAACAGAGTAGCATTTAATATTTCAATTTGGTAAACTTCAACACTACTCCACTCTCTGATCAGATTCTGAATCATTAAGATTTGATGTACAAAAAAAATTAATTCCATAAATACTGAACAATACCATACCTAGGAACAAAATGTCTTTGCTTACCCAGTAGTAAATCTTGTTCTGTAATTTTGAGGCATGTATTAAGGCCTAGAAAAGCCAAAAAAAAAAAAGTAATTAAACTGAGCATGTTTCACTTTTAATTTATACTTTTCCATTGAAAATTGCCTGAATTTATCCCATTTTAAAAATTCAGCTACGTAAGCATGAAGACAGATGTCATTTACTAGCATAAGAATAATCCCCCATATGAAATTAATTGACTTTTGCCTTCTGCAATATAATTCCAATAGCTATATTAAGCGCCTACTTTATTTCATTTGATCATCACATCACCTTGGAAAGGGTAATTATCATGATTGCTACTTCACTGATGAGGAACGTGAAAACCAGAGATATTAGCTGCCTTACCCTAGGCTATACAACTAGAAAGAGACAATTTCAAACTTCAGTCTGACACCAAAGATCCTACTGTTTCCACTACATCTTGCCGGATCGGATTATCCACATCTAATATAAATTTCTTTCTTCCTCCATCTTGTAGGCATTAGTGACTCAGACATTATTCTTTACGTAGAAGTTCTGCAGTGTGGGTTGGCAATTGATCTACAACACAGTACTTGTTTGGAAAAAGAAATCCTTGAAGTAGCAAAAAAGCTAGACTGTCCTCACGTGTGATACGACATTCATGATTGAGTAAATGAAACACCTGGGCATTTTTTAAAAATCTCAAAGTTGAGAATACAATTAAAACCCCTTACTTTTCAAAATAATTTGCTGTTTCAAGGATTTCCTTCTCTATGACCTCTTATCAACGTTTTGCATTAAAAATCATCACGTAGAAGAAAACATTCAATTGTGCTATTGGAGATTCAACAACTGTTGTACTCTATTCTATTGTTACCTGCTGGTATTTTTTTCCCTTTATTAGTTGACTTGGTGGTGTGGTTTTTAAATATAAAATATGGTTCATTAGTCTCAAAAATTATTTTTTGTCTAAGTATATTTAAACAACAAAACTAAACAAAACATAATAGGCCAAAGAGAAATGACATAAAGCAAGTATTTTATCCATGACTGTCCATTCCAAAGAATGTAAAGCATAGAAATTTTACCTCAGTTGAACTCCATGTTCTTTGTAGGATCAGCACTGGACCACTTATTAAAAGCGTAAGGGGTGCAAGAAGAATATAGAATAATGTTCTTTAATCTCTCCATTTACAGTCTGGCTAGGAAGTCAAACACACCCTCAGTAGCCAGTCATATTATTTACTGCACAGTTCAGTCCCCAGATCAATGAAACAGACATTCAGTTGTATACCAGGGAATGGTTGGAAAGATGTGACCAGGAGTGGTGGAAAGATGGTAGTCCAGGGAAAGTTCTGGCTCAGCTGGACCTGAGGATGATGAAGGTATGAGACAGAAAGAACAGGAATGAACTGAAAGGCAAGGATAGAGAGTCAACAACAACTTGGTTGTGGTGGAAATGATGAAATTCGGTAGGGTGAGGTCCATGAGGGCTCTGAATGAAACTGTGAAGAGGGTATACTTTGTTTTCTGTGGCTTCTAACCAGCCCCTTTCACTGCCTTCTCTCCAGATACCTCCCTCACTCTCTCTCCTGCTTACCTTTCCTATGGGCAGCAAGACTCTGGCCCATTTTGAAGGGCCATTAACTGTTAGTTGCATTTTGCTACAGATCTCTTGAAGGCTGAAAAGTCTTTTAAGATTCAAAGAAAAGATTAATAGTGAAACTTTAAGCCAGTGAGATACCAGTATCACTGTTCTAACACGCCCTTGTATTTCACAGGCCAGAATGATACTATAATGGTTCTGGAAAGTTAGTCTAGATTTTAGATATGGTCTTGTGGATACTGGTGAACCATTACAAGTTTGTGTCTGATGCTGAATAGGATTTTATAGTCTTTCTGTTAATAAGATTTACAAAATAACAAAGGGGAATGACTCAAACTAATTGTTAAAATAGTTCTGAACCTTGACATGATTTGCAGCTTGTACCACCAAAATCCCAGCAAAATACTTTTTTCTTATTCTATTTTCCCTCACCTCTCTCCGTCCAATTTCAATGTGTAATTTCCGTATTAAATATTCTTTCTCAGTTCATTTTCATACATAACACAACCACGATAAATAACTTTCTTAGGCATGAAAGTAGCACTCCACGAAGCTTAGTCTTTTCCATTTTTGACATTCTGACAAGAAATACCAATTACTCTCCTCTTTCTCCCAACTTTCTCCACAATTGCCTGGAGACAATTCTGTGGACTTCTAGAAGAATAATTTTCAGCGAGTCCCAGCACACAGTTGTTTTGACGCGGTGAAGAAGGGCGCTTAGTGAAACTTGGCCCTTCCACATTTCTTCTGTTTGGGGGTGAGGAGAACTTCTGAGGAAGCAAAGCTTACCAACAAACAAGCAAACAAACGTCGCCCACCACTCGGGCCGCGGCGGGGGGAGGGTCTCCCCGCCCCGTGCGCGCCCCGCCCCGCCCCGCCCCG